ATAAAGATTAAAAAAATTAGTTATTTATAATATGTGTGTATTAATTTTTTTAAAACACTCTCTTTAATCATATGCATTATGATAACTATCCAATTTGATGAAAACACCTGCCTTACATTTAGGATGTAATGACCAGAGGAGCATAAATAAGTTACTTTCTTTTTTAACAATTGATGATATAATTTTCTTCAATTCTTCATAACTTGTTCCCTCCTTTATAGTTGTTTTTACACTACCTCCCATATATATCATCTTCTCCATCATTTATAAACTTTCCTCCTATATGAACAAAGCACAATAGATGCTTTCCAGCCATACTTGCCATCAGTAATTTAGGCACCGTTTGGATGCACTTGCAAACCATGGTTTGCACAAAATGCTATCCAAACACCCCCTCAAAAACCAAAACCATGGTTTTGGGCCAAACTATGGTTTTGGAAAAAGCAAAAATTTTTTGCTTTTGGAGAAAAAGAGAGAGTGTGAGAGCCTATAGGATATGTATCTTGTTATTTTTTTTTATAAACATATTTTTTTATAAACATATTTAATCTTATATTTTATAAATATATATACATATTAATTATTTATTAATTATATTATCTTATGTATTATTAATTATGTTAATAAAAAATATATTATTAACAATTTTATTCCTCTAAATTAAAATATATCATAAAATCTATTTTTTCTGTAATTATTATATTAACTTATTTCTTTTTTTTAGTAATTTGTATATATAAAAAGTGTTTCTGATAACAACTATCTAAACACTCTCACTTCTCAAAATCATTTTTTCATAAAATTTATTCTTTCCAGAATCTATTCTTCCCAGAATCACTTTTTCAAACCACGGTTTGGTTTCATCCAAACACACCCTAAACTTGCATCAAGAATCACGCAACTGTCATTGACAAGTCAAGGAGCTACGTTGACAACTATCACGGCACACATTGACAACTATTGCGGCCTGATTGACAACACGATATCCCATTTCGTGCTAAGGGTTTCTACCCAGACTAATCTTCATCTTTTCCTTCCTTTGCCCCTAAACTAACATTATTTTTGCCAAAAAATACCACGTTAGGTTAATAGAACACACATGGCAACCTACATGACATCCTATGTAAGATAATAATTCTATATAAAACATTCATAAATTCTAAGTTAGTTGCATAACCCCCTAAACTTTATTAAGCATGAATTTTGAAGGGTCAAGAAGGCTATATGTAACGGGTTTAAAATTTAGGAGGTTTTTATCAAATGAATGAGTTACGTAGGATGTCACGTGTCTTCTATTGATTTGATGTGGTAATTTCTGTTAAAAAATATTAATAACATAACAACAAGGGATTCATGGTAAAAAAAAAAAAAAAAGGTTACGAAGTTAAATTTAAATGTTAAAATGTCAGAAAAGATATGTACAATTGACACAAGATTTAGTTTTTGTATAATTTAGCATAAAAGAATTCATTAGCATCTTGTAGAAATAATTACAATTTTTAAGGACAGCATTAACTGAATATATAAAAGTAAAAAGATATTTCAATTCAGCTAGAATAAAAGGCTGTTAAAAATAATTAAACATTTACTTTTCATAAAATAAATCAATTATTTTTTATTATAACAAAAATAAAATATAATGACACTGATAGTCAATACAGCTTCAAAATAAGTTGAGCAACCAGGCAAATGGGTTGACTCGTCAAATTCAATAAAGGAATGGAATGTTGTTGAAGCCATCTATCATTTTTTATTTTTTCCAGAAAGCTTTATTTTTCCGAAAAATTATAATTATTTCGTTTCGCAATAATTCGTGGGCTCAGCGACTCATGCCAAGCTAACATTAAAAAATCCAACATATTTTTTCACTAAAAAAATCCAACAATCTTTTTTTAAAAAAAATTGGCGGATTAGTTGATGTTATTTGGTTTTTGGTGGTGATCAAAATTTAATGGTTAATCCTATCTTGCTCATGATTAATCATATTTCTTCTTTGTATATTCTCCGGCTAACTTACAAATCACTTTCAACATATTTTTTATCAAAACCAAAAAAACAATTAATACTCATCAATTATATCTAAAAATTAAAAAATTATACTATGCCCATATGTTAAATACATCCCTAAAAAGCTTCCCATTTTTCTATGTTAATATTGAATACGGGTAATGTGAAAAATATAATAAGTAATCAATTCGGCGATTTATATATAAAATATATCACCAAAACTCTTCAAATGTCTTGTAAGTAGCATCAAAGGGACTAAGAGAGTATATCACTAGTGTTTTAAGTTGGTTTTCCCCCCACTGAGAATATAGAACATCCAGAGAGTGAGAATATGGAATTTTTGTGGCTGCAAATTATGTTTCATTTATGAAATTGGCACTAAATAATGAAGGATCCCTCTTAGTTTTGGGAATATTTATAAATATTTTAATTTGTTATATTTGCTGGATGACACCATAGAATGAATGTTACAAAAGGATTCTTAATGCTACTCATTGCTTAGTTAATCCATTTCTTTTAACATATAACCAATTTTGTCACCCATCTAATTCTTAATATAAGAGCTTGATAACTAATTTACAAAGATTAAGAAAATTAGTTATTTATAATATGTGTGTATTGATTTTTTTTAAAACACTCTCTTTAATCATATGCATTATGATAACTATCCAATTTGATGAAAACCCCTGCATTACATTTAGGATGTAATAACCAGAGGAGCATAAATGTATACTTTTTAATAATATTATGAGCAATAAATATTTTAACAGAAAAAAAAAAAAACCTTTAATTGCATATGGTCTTCTTAGCTACATAATGAAAAATTATTAATTAGGTCAAGTTAAAAGGGATTCAATAAAATATCTACTAAGAAATAATACGATAAATTTAAAATTTGTGGTTAAAAATTATACTAAAATTCCTACCTTCATTCCAACTGTATAATACTTAAATTCGATGAATACTAGATAGCAATAAGAAAACTGAAATTATTTAACTAAATTATCCTTGAGTAAAATATATTTATTTCTACTCGCAATAATTAGGTTACGTGAAAAGGGACATGATGATAATTTAGTAAATTTGTGAGTTTAAACCTTATAAATAGAAAATAATAGCTACTTTCACCAGCATGTATCATTACTCAAATTTCACCTGATAATATCAGATAGTAGTATTAAATAATTACATAAAATTGATAAATACTTTAAATAGCCATGAAAAAGGAAAGAAAGAAAAATAATTTCGCAGAAAGCTTTCATGTCTTCCATGCAATAATTTCGCAGAAAGTAATCTGGGTTGGGCATCAGTCAGGGTCATATACAGTCAAGGAGGGATTCAAATGCTATTTGCATTCTTCAATAGAGTTTTTTGAACTTCTGAGCCTCTTTGAAAATTTCTTTGGTCTTTATTCTTACCTTACAAATGTTTGTTGTTCGTGTAGAAATTATTGCATAGAGCACTACTTGTTGTTCATTTACTGCCTCCCATCGTTAATATAAAAGCTAGTTGACTAATTTGAGTATATTAAGAAAATTAGTTAAATTAGTTATTTGTAATAAATAGATGTTATTTTTTATAAAATATCTTTATTAATCGAGTATATTGGTTAGAAATATCATTGTTACAATGATTATTTTGAAAAAAAAAAGTGGATAAATATGATAAATAAAGTAGATTGAGATATTATATTTAGGACAAAAATAAAAGTCAAATAGAATTTTATATTAAAGACCGGAGGTAGTACTTTGTGACCACTATCTAAATATTACGGGTCAATGTCCTTTTGGATGTCCAATTGATGAAACTCTGGTTCATTTGATGTTTGCGTGCTCTTACTCTAGAGCTATCTGGCTTGGTTGTTTTTCAATTAGACCACCTGATCTACCAAGCCTTCAACTTTTGCAATGGCTGAAGGATTTCTTGTTTCATCTTTAACTCTAGTGATCAGATAGATACACCAAAGGGTATTATTGTCCTACGGCGCAAGAGGAAGCTGGTAATCCACGAAAGAAAGGTCACTTCACCACAACTGGTTATTCAAGAAATTTTTGGAGCACTTTCATTCTCCTATATGGCTTTTGCTAACTCACATCTGTCTTCGTGCTTGCAACCCTCCTCTTCAAGACTCAAATCCTCTGGCAATGGACATGAGTGGTTAATAGTGATATACAAGAAACGTCAGGCTGGAAGTGTCCTTTGTCGTGCCCTTACTTGTCATAATTACTACCTCACTGTTCTAATTATAAGACATCGTTTGTAGATTACAAACGAGGTCTTATAATTAGGATGGGATAGTATTATCCAATGCAAATTTCATTCCCAACTGTGAGCATTATTAAATTGAATATGTAACTTAGCAAACACTGCAAATTGTTGGCATCCAACCTTTATCATTTGATCCAATGGCTACTTTACGGTTGTTCCCCATGTTATCCTTGAAGATGTTAGTTTCTTTCTAGGTTCTTTTGCTTCTTTCTCATGTAGGATAGCATATGTTAGCTAGTTTAAGAGGTTTAGAGATGCTTTTATTTTTCCTCAGTTTATTGGGACCTTGTAGATGTTGTCATTCCTTTTTAATATTATCTCCGGTTCTAACTATAAGAATTAGATGACTAATTTAAATAGATTAAGGAAATAAATTAAGTTAGTTATTTGTCATAAATAGGTGTTATATTTCTTAAAATATCTTTGTTAATTAAGTGTGACTAGAACCATCATTATTAGAAAACACTTTAAAAAAAAATAAAGTAAATTGGGGTCTTATATTTATGATTAAAATAAAAATCAAACTACCTTATATGAGGTGATATCATTTTTCCTTTTATTAAAAAAAAAAAAACATGCATGGCCCCACAGCTGAGCACGGGGAAGAAAAAGAGCTGAGCTGCTGGCTAGTAAACAGGTAAACTGCAAGTTGCCGGTTAAGGCTACGAAACACAGCAACGTGCCAATAAAACAAGCTTATCGGTTTATCACGAAGCGAGAGACCCTGTAGAGAGAGAGAGAGAGAGAGAGAGATTGGGCCAAGAAGGGAAATCAAAAACCAGAAGAGATTAGAGAGAGAGAGAGTTGATGATATAAGAGATCGGAGAAATGGATGGAATGCAATTAGCTTTGCCTATTGTTGGAATTGTAGCAGCCGCAGCTGTAACCTTTTACGCTGTAAGTTTTGCGGAGCTCCGAGAGGTAACCTGATTTAACCTATAATTCTCCCTCCCTCTGTCTCTCTGTCTCTATCTTTGTGCTGATTCGATTATTCATGAATTTAATTTATATCTAATTCTTGTTCGATGGAATCAGAAATCGTTCGGAGAGCTGGACGACTCAGAATATGAAGGAAATGGTGGCTTCAGGCCTTCTCCTAGTTCCAGAGAGAGGCGTGCCAGAAGAAAAGCTTCCAAAGGCAATGACTCTTAGTTACAACTTCGAGTTCGAATCTCCTCTCCCTATTTTGTAATTAGCTCTTTTATTATTATTTCCATAATACCTGCTTGTTAATATGAGAACCAGAAATAATATCCACCAACTAGTTGACTAATTTGATTTTTTAATTATAATATATATTATATGATGTCTTTAAAATATTTATGTAGATTATTACATTATATATTAATTTATAAATAAGGTAAATTAGTTGGGAGAAAAATAATAAATATAACTAGTTTAAAGTAATTTAGTAACTTTTTTTAATTTTTTCAAATTAGTTAACTGAGTCTTATATTAAAAACGAAGATAGTATATAAGATGATTCTATGAGGCTCTTTGATTTTTTTGGTATAAAGTATAGTCTTGTTTGATTTTGATTATATACATACCACCTCTGTTCCTTAATATAAGAGCTAATTGATTAATTTGACTAGATTAAAAAATTTTGTTAAATTAGTTATTTATAATAAATAGATATTATTTTCTCTAAAATATCATTACTAATCATATGTATTAGTTAGAACTATCATTTAATGGAATCTTTAACCCGTGTAATCACTACAAGGATTACTTTGAAAAAATTGAGTAAATATAAGATAAATTAAGTTAGACAAACTAGACTAGTTCCTTACATTTAAGATAAAAAAGAATGTCAAACTAGCTTTTATGTTAATGATTGGATGTAACATATAGTTATCTCATATTTTTATAGAAAATGTTTTAATTTAATATTTTAAAGTTAAATTAAAAGTATATATTACCTTTGATCCTTAATATAAAACCTTATTTGATTTTTATTTTGGTCCTAAAGATAAGACCCCAATCCACTTTGTCTCTCATATTTATGCATTTTTTTTAAGATAGTCCTTCTAACAATGGTAGTTCTAGCCAATACACTTGATTAGTAAGGATATTTTAGGAAAGATAATACTTATTTATTACAAATAACTAACTTAACTAAGTTTCTTAATCTTCTCAAATTAGTCAACTAAGTCTTATAATTAGGACCGGAGGTAGTATTGATTTACAAAAAATTTATGTCATTATACTAAGTTTTTTTAGGGTCAACTTCTATTACTTGATTATTTCTTTTGTGAAATTCACTTTGAGACAGTTACTCCAGTTTTCTGAAGAAAAGTAGTTATAGACCGGTTGAGGAGGATTTTGGTTGTTCACTAGTATTTATTTTGGGAGCACATTTCGTGCTCATCGCATCGCAATAATCAGTGTAGGGTGATTTTTCATCCAAAACATTTTAAGGGGATGAGATGAGACAGCTCAAATTTGGGAGATCTTTGACTAATAATCTAAATGAAAGCATTGATGATTAATGCTGTTACGGTTTTATACATGCCAATCAGATATTCAATTGTAAATTTATGCCATAACGTTCAAATTAATCTAAATTTTCGTTGCTAAAAAAAATCTAAATTTTAGATTTGCAAAGCCTAATGTGCTGCAATTTCTCTTGTAATGGTGTCTTTAAATATACTCTTTCGGTCCTTAATATAGGACCCAATTGTTGAGTTAGTTTTTGTTTTAAATATAAGATCCGTTTATAATATTTATCAATTTTATCTAAATTACCCCTATGGATACTCTTTCAACCATAATTAAGTAGAAGAGGAAAATAGGGTATTAAGAAAGATGATTATAGTATTTTAGGAAAAACGTGTTACATTTCTTATAATTAATTAATTTACTTAACTTTCTTAATCTAATCAAATTAGTTAAATGGGTCTTATATTAAGGACCGGAAGAGTAATAAACAATTTTTTTGGTTCAAAATTTTAAACTAAGCTTTTCATTTTTATCTCCATTTACTACTTATCATTTCTTTGCAATAAATTTTTACTTATTATGTTTCATGTACTCTATTCACAAACAAGAGTATGATTGTAAAAAAAAATATATTACATATTTATTATTTTTAACTAAATTAACATTTTAAATCATGTGATTTTAGTAGTTATTTCTGAACGCAAGGAAGACTAAATTAAATTCCAGACCATGTTAATTAATAAACAAAGTAAGTTGCTATTTAATTTAACCACAAATTTTCCACTATAATAATAAATCATTCTTGTCTACCTAAAAATATGCTAAATACAATCTTCCAAAAGATTTAAAATTAAAATTGTTATTTATTCTGTGTAATCCCATGACAAACATATCTTTACACATATAAAACACACAAAATTGACAAAAAAATCATACTACGTAAAAGCCGTTAAATAGTTCACAATCTAGTACTTCTAAAAATCCAAAAACTTTGATACAGTTTCTTCCTTTGTCAGCATACAAGCATCTGTACCATTTTTAACCCAACCCACCCTATCCTTTGTATTGTGCTATACTCAATAATAAACATATCTCTATACATTAAGCCGTTAAAGCCCTTGCCACTATTTTCATCATCATCAGCATCAGTAAAAATCCATTACTTACCCTGAGCCTTGAGTTCCCGCACCCTCTCCTCAGTCTTTTTCAGAGCTATCCCATAGATTCTGATTAACTGGGGGAAGAAATGGCCAATATCAGTATTCAAATAAGATCTTAGGTCTCGTTTGGTACGAAGCATTGAAAATGAGGGATGAGATTGAGATTATAATTAAAAAAAATCATTAAAATAATATTTAGCATGAGTAATTGCTTATTATATGAGATTAGGCAAACTCTTAGAGGTAAGATTGGAGAATACCACTTCCCCCCATGTTATTCTATCCAATCCCATATATATGGGTTTGGCTAATCCCATATAACAAACAATTTCTTATACTAAATATTCTTTTAATAGATTTTCTTAATTATAATCCCAATCCCAATCTTTTATTTTTAATATTTCTTACCAAGCATAACCTTAGTCCTAAAGAATAATTGGACAAGAGCAGGTAGTGGATGGCACTTGAGGAAGTAAAAAAAGAAAAAAAAGAGCATAATAGAAGAGGAAAGTACATAACAGTGAATCATCATGGGGAGAAAATTATTAAAGCAACTTGTACGAGCTTGACTGAATATGGCCATTAGTCAGCAAGAACTCATCAAAATTGTACATTCAAGATGGTGAGATTCAATGGTACACTCATTTTAATGTCTTTACGGTCTAGAAGAGCATATACATTAGTTAAATTGTGTAAATTAGCTAGTTACAATAAATTTATTTAGTTTCCCAGTGATTTAGAAATTTACAGACAGGCCAAATGAAGACAACTGAATATTTAAATGACTCAAGGTAAGGTTACCTCATCAACTTCTTCTAGGCTGAGAGTAAATGGTGGACACATCATTATGTTATCCCCAGCTGCACGTACTAACATCCCATTCTTCTCACACTGTGCTCCAAAATAGGCACCTACCCCTGTGATAATTATTTAATCAAAACTGTCACAACAATGGAAAATAAACCCAAGTCCACAAAATGATGGTAACATAACCTATTTCACATATTAGGATAATAATTTTCTGTCACCTCAACTAATAGGAAGCTGCATTATTCTTGTTATGCGTCACTGTCACAAAAGGTTTGGTTTTAAATGACCTTAGAGAAGACATTTTTGCTACTTTTAAATTTTAATTGATTTTATAGTCTATCCGTGCATAACAAAGTCATCTGTTCATATGATAAGAACCACGTTTCAGGAATTCCAAGTAAACATGCTTTTGCTTCAGGAATTAAACTAAATAATGGTTAAGTACATTATTGTATGGTTAACCACTGGCTTGGCATCATTGGTTGTCCAGTTAACATCCCTAAACTGTTGAAATTTTTTGCTAATGAATTCCTAAAGGGTAATTCCCCCTGGTATGTTAAGGGAAAGTATGGGAACCAAAGGGAAAATTGAACTTACCCCATTCTGGAGGGAAAGGATCATTGGGCGACTTGTTGTCAGTGAACTCGGTCCCCAGGACCAAACCAGTTCCACGAATCTGCAGAGCCAAATAGGTTATTCTCACACCTCAGTCATGCGTTTCGTACAAGGATAAAACTTGAGTAGAGCTTTAGCGTTTACTATCAAGTTCTCCAATAAAATCATGACATGTTTTCTTATACAACCACAAGAACTACATATGATGTTTTTATCCGAGAATTTGATAGCACCAACTTAAAGTACTTTCAGTATAGACCACAAGCTGCTTAGCAAACAAGAGGTACCTCCCCAATGATTGGACTATCAGAGAAGGCTTTTACGCCATCTTGGAAGCTGGGGGCAATGGTCCTCACATTCTCAACAATATTTCTCTCCCTGCAAAACATCAAGAAGAATAATAACAACAACCAGCAGCCTGAACAGTAATTAACATGATATGATATGCTTAAAGTTGTAGTCATTTATTCGAACATAATACTGTAAATCACAAATTTCGCTGCATATATTTGAAATTTACTATGACTATGGTAATGATCCAAGCTACATAGGAACACACTTGTAGATCTTTAGTGCTTCAATTGCAGCAGCACACGATACTGGGTGTCCAGAGTAAGTAAAGCCGTGAGAAAAAGAACCTAAAATAAGAAAAATCAGGTTAGCAACAATTATCTCCACATGAAGATGTGGTCATAAATTTACCACCATACCAAGTTTGTTGCTTTGCGAGTGTATGACATCTGACACTTCTGGGCTCACAAGAACTGCACCAATTGGCATGTATGCAGAAGAAAGTGCCTGGAAGTCAAATACAAAAATGAAAAACATTAAGCTTCCTAAATTATGAGAGAGATAAATGTGTTTGGATACTATTTCAAGTTTACCTTAGCTAATGACACCAGGTCTGGTTTAATGTTGTACTTATCAGATCCAAACATTGTCCCAAGCCTTCCAAAACCACAGATGACCTGCAAAAGAGAAATATGAAAGAAGCAAGTTCAGCAGTCAAATTTCCTCATTAACTCCAGTTTAAGAAGTATGGACAAATACAGCATAGTACCTCATCCGCAATGAAAAGAATGTCATACTTCTTTAGGACGGCTTGAATCTGCACAAGTAATAACAGGCTGAAAGAGATGTTTCTTGCCTGTAATATAATTTTGTGGTATTTAAAGGAAGGAGTTCTCAAGGGACAGTGTGAAAACAATTATAATTATATTAATCCGATGCATGAATAATTGTTATCTAAGCCAGAATTCTGGGAAGTGCAAGACTATACAGCAATCGTGTCTATTGACTTTGAGATATAACTTGTACGTAGCTAGCCAACATGTGGATTGCAAATAGGTATTCTATTTTAACCCTTGAACAAGTATAAAAGATGAACAATCTATTCAAGCAATTGAATAAAATCTAATAGCCATATTCAAGATGTTGTCAAGTGATGAAATAGTCTAAACAGAAAAATCATGTACATTTTTCTACGGTCACTGCCCGTTTGAGATTATAAGA